GTACGGTGTGTGTCCATAGTCCCGTGCTGTTTTTCCACATGCGTAGATTTATGTAACCAGCGCTCCGATCAGGATGAGAGGCCAGAGCCACAGCAGCATGCTCTTTGAACATTACTTCCATATTCTGGAAAATAAAGGTGTGTTGTTCTGCTTCTGTGCATGCCTTGTACTTTTGTGTAGGTATAGACATGGATTTATCCTGCTGGCTGCTTGTTTGTGGTTGCTCTAAGTGTTCTTGAGCTTTGCTCTGGGGCACAGGTAAGTGACTTGGAGGCAGCTTTCATTTATTTATTCATTTGCTTGTTTTTATTTTTAAAAATTTGATAAAGGGTGCATGCACTTGCCAGAGAGAGACAAACAAAGGGAAAGTGACAAATCACCCTTAAGACCGGATGGCCATGCTGCATCCTTTCTCCTCCATTCTCTACTCTGGATTTGGAGTATTTATGCACATGTGCCCTGCATGAGTTTCAAGCCACTGGGTCTGAAGCTTGAGTCACAGCTGGCCCTGTAATCCAGCGTCTTCACTACCATGTCACCCAGCAGTCCCCTCACTTTCCTATGTAAGAACTTCATCGATGTAAAACGGAAAGAACCTTATCGTGAAAAGAAGGTTTGGCCCAGTTCACATCCTTCAGTGTGCTTGTTTACTGTGAAAGGTCTGAACGCAGTTTCAGAATCGAGTTAAAATGTTCCCATCCATACACCCGGACAGAACTTACTGCTTTGTTCATATACTAATGAGCGTAAGCATCCTCCAGGATCCTGCTGATGTGTAAATGTGCAACAAAACCTGTTGAAATCACACAGTGTTGTGACCTGGCACCCTGTAGCACCTTGAAGGTGTTCTTGCAACTCGCGGTAAATTTGTGAGGTCTGGCTTATTCCTGCAGGTTTTCAGTTTGATCTTGAATCCCCTCCTCCCAAATACACACACGCACACCTTTGCGTGACAATGTGGGCACCTGGAGGACCCACCAGAGCAATGTCCAGAAGGGCTCTGAGGGCCACACTTAGTGGGCAGCATTTTGGCATTAACCCTATGAATGGTCCTGTGCCCCCGGCTCTCCTTAGCTAGCCTCAACTGAGCAGTCATAGCATGCCTGGCTGGAGGCTGGATGCCTCAACTTACCAGTTCATGTGCTCCACGGGGCATGCTAGGGGCTGGGAGTAGCCCATGTTCCTGCCAGTCAGAATCACTGGACAGAGAATCATCTCAGTATTGAAAAACACACAGTCCTACCTCCATGATAGAAATAAACAAGCTGTTTGCTCCCACTGGACTTTCACGCCCTGTGCAGAACACGTCTGGTTACCAATAATGTCAAGGTTTCGCCCACACATCAATTTCCCAGTTCTCGGCGGCCACTTACTATGTCTCCGACAATTCAGTTCAATTAGGACACTACTGAGAGTTAGTACAGACCCCACAGATTAAAAGCTCAGTCCCCCCTCAGATCCCAGTCACAAGTCCCAGGCTGTGACCTGTACTTCTGAACAAACAGCCGTAAATCAGGTTCCCATGACCCACTCCTTGAGCTGGATCATATGCTAGCGTGACTCCCAGACACTTACTTACGTTTGCTGGTTTATTATTTGACAAAGGATGTGATGAGGGATGCAGATGAACAGTCAAGTGAAGAGGTACCTAGGGCTGACTGTACAGTTTGAGTCCCAGACTCAGCAGCTTAACCTCACACCAGGCACATGTATGTGCATGCCCAAAATCTCAAGAGCAGAAAGGAGGAAAAATGATTGCAACATGGCCACGACCCCCCATGTAAAATCACCCTCTTTTACAGAGAGTGCTTCTCATCCTCCACGATCCCTGTCTCTGTGACAGGCGTACATACACTATAATAATTTTTTTTTAAAAAGGTGAAAAAATTAGATAGATTTTTCTTTTTTTTTTTTGGAAGGGGGGAGCTTGTCTAGGATCAAATAAAAAATAAAAATGAAGATATTGAGGGGCTAGCAGGTGACAGTGGTTAAGGCCCTGGACCCCCATATGGCTGACCGTAGTTTGAGTCTCGGACCCAGCAGCTTGAAACTTATGCTGGTCATGGGTGTGCGCATGCCCAAAATACCAAAAGGAGAATGGAGTTGGGTAATTTGTTGATCTGCTAGATTGCAGCCTGGCCATCCCCCCAGGGGACAATTTCTCACTTTCTGTTTCTCTGTCTCTCTCCGTCTCTCTGGCGAGCACGTGCGCCCTATAGCAAAAGTCTCTCAAAATAAATAAATAAAACGAGGAGGTTGACATAGATCGCTCCACACCATTGCATTCTCATCGCTATGTCTTGTGCTCAGTCTTACGATATGGTTATCAGAAGCTATTTTGAGTATTTGTCTTTCTACTTTGAGGAAGACTAGACAATCTGGGTAAGATTTAGGCCATCCCCTCTTTCACCGACTCACACATCCCACTCACATTACTGACTTTAACAGGCTCTTTTCTTTCTAGCATGTCTATCCAGCATTTTCTTCCCTTGGGTGATGGTAGTGCATGTACGTACGCTTGCCAGAGACTACTTTACGATGATGCCTGGGAGCCTGGAACTCCCACAAATGCCCGTGAAGCTTCCTTGAAACTATGTTATAAAAGTCTGTCCACCCTGGAGGTTTTCCTAAAGTACTCTGCAATGATTAGCCAGTGGACACATAAGATTATCCTGAGGACAGCAGGCTGGGTTGGGATTTTTCTGCTTGTGAAGGGCAGCATTTACCTGAAGGAAGAGAAGACTTCAGCTCAGTCTTCCATGGCAGGCTTTTTAACTATACAAGCAATATACACTTGGCTAAATAGTTCTTCTAAATGGTAAGGAAGCAAGCCAAATTATTCTCAATTATACATCTGAAACATTTTTACTGCATATATACAGAATACTTCAATGTGTTATGTTATCAGCTAATTAATACATTACCATTCCTGTGTAGTGATTATAGTACATTGTTCACATTTTATAACCCTAGGGCATTATCTCACAATTTGCATGACAAGGCTCTATAGTTTACATACTTGCTTCTTTGGAATGTTGATATTTATAAGTAAGAGGAATAGAAAGACTTTGTTGAGAATGCAGCTGTATATTTTACCTTTCCTTTTTTCACTCACTTATTTTCTTTTTTGCTTCCAGTTATATATACATAAAAAATACATAGGGAACCAGCAGTTAGCATAATGGCTATGTCGCTGGACTCCCACGTAGTCGACCGCAGTTCGCTTCCCGGACCCGGTGGCTTAAAACTCACACTGGGTGCGTGTGCGTGCATGCCCAAGATCCCAAGAAGAGAGTGGAGGAGAAGGGATTGCGGCGTGACCATCCCCCTGGGGGGTGATTTCTCGCTTTCTGTCTCTCTGTCTCTCTCTGTCTGGAGAGCGCACGCGCCCTATTGTGAAAATCTCTCAAAAAAAATATATAAAAGCCCAAAAATAATTTAAAAAAATAACTCTTGGGACCAGCAGTTAGCATAATGGCTATGTCACTGGACTCCCCCGTAGTCGACCATGGTTGGAGTCCCGGGCCTGGTGGCTTACACTCACGTCGGGCGTGTGTGTGTGCGTGCTCAAGATCCCGAGAGGAGAATGGAGGAGAAGGGACTGTGGCATGGCCATCTCCCCTGGGGAGGTGATTTCTTGCTTTCTGTCTCTCTGTCTCTGTCTGTCTGGCGAGCACATGCACCCTATAGCAAAAACCTCTCCAAAAAAATAAAAATAACTCTTAACCCAACCATCAGATAATAACTCCATATGAACTTCAGGAATCATACTATATATACTATTTTATAATCAGATTTTCCTTTATGTAGATATAAATATGTTTCTATTTAATGAAATGTTCTCCTAAGACGTGGTTTTTAGTAACTATGTGATCCTGTTACTGTACCAGGACTTAACTCCTTAGGGGAGGCATGTCAGGTGGCCAAAAGAAGAGAGTTGTTAGCAGACATTCTGGTACTAGGTGTGAACATGGCCAGGTGGGGCTTTCGTTTGTTTGTTTTGTTAGTGGGCACATGTGCTCTCCAGAGAGATACCGAGAGACGGAGGTAAAGGGAGAGGAGAGAGCAGTCGCCGTGGAGCCTGGCACACTACAATCCCTTCTCCTCCATCTCTCCTTCCTTTCAAAATTTTGGACATGAGAACATTCACACGTGCCATGTTTCTGAAGTCAGCAGCTCTGGGACCTACCAGTGAGGTCAGCCATGTAGGATCCAGCTGCCTCGACCACCAGACCGTGCAGCTGGCCCATGGCCATACTATGTCTTCATGTCTTCCCTCAGTCCCTTCACTCATGAAATGGGGAATAACAATCATAGCAATTTCATATCAGTTCATGTAGAGATTAACTAAGCTTATGATACATGGTACTTAAAACAGACTACTCAGAGCCATGTTCTAGTAGATTTTATTATTAGAGTATTATCCTATTGTGATCTATAATTCTATTATTCTAATAGGATAATTAATTGGCATATCATAAATTCTCAAAACAGTCAAATTGTAGGTTACATATTGATTTCAGATTTTTGATACTTTAATGCTGTCATGGATATCTTTGAAGAAAAAGGCTTTTTCTCTTCTCTTGTTATTGGCCTAGGATTAAGTAGAATTACATCCTGGGGACATGTTGCTCAGTCGCTTTCCGTGAAGGCTGTGCCACTGCACATTCTCCATAGAAAGCGAGAAACCAAACACAGCGAGCGCTGTTTCCGGGCGTGCGTTACGGTGAGAAATGACAACTGCCACGTCAGGGCTTTTTCGGTTTTCCAGGATCATTGAGTATTGAACAGCTGAGATTTAGTCAACTTTTTGTCCCTTTTCAACATTTATATAATCTTCAGGTAAATTGTGAAAACTTGGAAACACGCTGACTTTTGGTGTATTTAGTCTGTTAACTGATTTTTGCCTGAGAAGGTACTTGCCTTGGTATGAAAATAAGTCCTTGGCTACATTGTTAAGGTTTTCTCTCCCACTGAAACGAATATTTTCTATTTTCAAGAAGAAAGCAGCAAGCCTTGGGAGCAGTCAGTATTCCAGAACCTATGCTGGTGGAACATCTCCGGCGACCAAGGTCAGTACTTTCCTGAGCACAGAAAGACCCTGGTCCATAGTTGTGGCTGGGCCTTGGCGGGAAGACAGATAGCTCCTGTATCTCTGGACGTTTTTGAGTGAATGTATCATTTCTGTGCTGGGGGTGGGGGGTGAAATTTCTTAATAATGATTTAAAACCTAGTAGAACAATTTGCGTAATAATTATTCTTAGCATGTGACACGAGTTTGATAAATATTAATAAGTATATAAATATATGACAATAATGTTGGATTTTTGCTCATTTTGTGAGTAGGAATATAGCTCTTCTCCTTCTTCAGAAAAGAATTCAAATCCCCCTCAATGAGCATGGACCACACCAGGCTTTGCTGAGTGCTCTGTAATTATCTCGTGCACTTCCCTCACAACCTCATAATTATCATTCCTGCGTAGCCAAGGAAAGGGGGGCTCAAAGAGGCAAAGTAGCTTTGACCGTCCCACAGAGCCAGTGCGATGGAAGTGGGCCTTCAACCCAGGTTTCCTGTTCCTTCGAGGTCCTTAATAATGTTGGAGCTCATGAACTCTGAGCAGTTTTTCATAATGTAACACTTCAAAGTTTGTAACTTACAAAAATCACCGGAATGTCTCCTTTTAAGACGAGAAACTAGTTTTACCTAGTAGCTTTTAATAAATAAAGTCACTATGTTCAGCCCATTTCAACTTTGGGATCTTCCAGTGTATCCAAAGTTGACTGAAACTTTAACCATTTTCAAGACTGTCTATACAACTATTTAAAATAAGCACATTTCAAGGTCAGAAGCTGACGCGGTGGTTATGATGCTGGATTCCCACATGGCCAACTGCAGTTCGAGTCCCAGACCTGGTGATTTGAAAATTACAGTAGGCATATGTGCGTCATGCCCCAAACCCCAGGAGGACAGTGGAAGAGAAGGGATTGCAATGTGGCCATCCCCCCAGGAGGTGATTTTTCAATTTCACTTGCTCTCTCTCTCTCTCTCTGCCTCTCTGGTGAGTGCATGCACTCTATGGTTAAAAAAAAAAACTAAAATAAATAAATAAATAAAACAAGCACACTTCCTTTAAAACTAGCAGCTATCCAGTGGAAACCTGTGGGCTTTTCCATGTCACTTACTGGGTGAAGAGTCAGTGTTTCAGTGTCTATGAGAGCTCCAGCTATTCTGCAAGATCCCAGAGGCAGCAACACCAAGAATCATCTGAGAAGTGAGAAAGGGCTGGACTCTCTAAAGAGGCACTGGACACAGTCGGAGTGGGACACCACACATCCCAATTTTAGGCCTGTGATGGTGTTGCATAGACTTTTTCAAGTTTCCTCTTCTACTAGCCAGTAAAAGAATAAAAATTATTTGAAGACTATGAATTTTAGTCAGTCCAGGCAGGATTCCTGGTGTTCAGTATGGCTTCCAGAAGTGCAGAGCAGTGAGCCATCACTGCACCTCTGTGGGTAGGCCTGAAAGGATATGAACAATACAGCAGTGACTTAGTGTTCAGGACCAACATGAATTCAAAACTGAGGTCTGCTCTCCTTTAGCCATTCTGTCACTGCTGGGGGACACTACAGCGTGATGCTCGCTGGGCGAGAGACGACTTGCTCAGTGAAACAACCCAGATGGGAATATGCTTTTTGCCACTTTTTTAAAAAGTTTGCTATACGGCATGTGAGCTCACCAGAGAGAGGAGAGAGATGAGAGCAGCCAGGAAGGGATGCCACACCTTAGTCCCTTTTCCTCCGTTCTCCTCTAGAGAATATGGAGCATTTAACTGGGAGTATGGCTTCTCTTGTCAGAGATATTGAGAGGCTTATTTGAGAGGCTTTATTTAAAATAAAATTTATGGGGCCAGCAGGTGGCATTGTAGTTGAAGCACTGGACCCCCACATGGCTGACAGTGGTTTGAGTCCTGGACCTGGCAGTTTGCTTTCTTGCTCTCTCTCTCTCTCATCAAATTAAAATAATAATAATAATAATAACAAATGGAATCAAATAAATAGATCTTTAAAAAATAAAATAAAATTTATAAAACACTTAACTAGCTTGGTTTAGCATTTAGTAGGTGCTGGAAAAAATAAGTATTTTCTGTAATTACTCTTGTTGGTCCTCAGATCCTATTGTTTGGAAGTCTCTGCTTAAAAAGACATCCAAACATGTCTTATCTTTTGTAGTTATTGGGACCTTATATTAACTGACACTTAAATTATGCCTTTAAAAATGAGAAGCCTCATTAGCAAAACTGCCACTCAATAACATTAAGTGAAATCCTTTGTAAATGATTTTTAGGGTTGCTACTACCTAAACTTCTGGAGGTTCAGTAGATTATGCACAACCACACCCAGTGCTTTCTTTTTAAGACTTGTGACTTGAAAATTACAAGAATCAGATACTTTCCATTCCCCCCCACACACATGTTATCATACCATCTTTCTGAGGTGGGATGGTCATAAAGAATTTGGGCCTTTCCCACCAAACCCTGTTTTTGTTTTTAAGAAGCTGAGAGGTGTCGATATTTTAGCCACATGTTTATTGTTTTAGTATTTAATGGCAAACTTGACATTTTTTTCCTTGCCCTTGAAAGCACTCTCCTCTCCCCCTTCCTTCTTACCTCCCCTGTTCTTTCTCACGATTTTCAGGCTCTCTTTCCTTGCCTAGTTTCCTGAACGGTAGCCTTCCCAGGGTTTAATTCTTCACTAGGTCTTTTCTTATGTCTTTAAGTCTTATATTATTCTTGCTTATTTTTGCCTTTGGTGTTAGATTAGAAGAACAATAATTCAGTATTATCATCTTTTTAAAAATTATCATCCTCATGCATCATTGGGAAAATCTGAGGGTAGTATTATTTAATTTTTTTTTTGAGAGGTTTTCGCTATAGGGCGCGTGTGCTCGCCAGACAGACAGAGAGAGACATAGAGACAGAAAGCGAGAAATCACCCCCCAGGGGGGATGGCCATGCAGCAATTCCTTCTCCTCCATTCTCCTCTCGGGATCTTGGGCACGCACGTATACGCGCCTGGTGTGAGTTTTAAGCCACCGGGTCTGGGACACGAACCGCGGTCGACTACGTGGGAGTCCAGCAACATGGCCATTACGCTAACTGCTGGTTCCCAAGGATAGTATTATTTGTGATAACGCAGAGCCTTTGGTTACACAATTAACATAAGACACACAGCACAGCAATATTCTCCCAACCCGTTCAGGAAAACCATGACAAAATAATGTATGCAGTTGGCAATGAGAATTAGTTCTGGTTTTATGAGTTCTGGGCATGTTCAATTTGAAAGTTAGAGTAAGTGACAATTTTATGATTATTGAGAAAACTTAAAGCCCGCCTTAAAAATGAAGTATTTAGTTTGGGGACCAGCAGTTAGTGCAATGGCTATGTCACTGGACTCCCATGTAGTCGCCTGTGGTTTGAGTCCCAGACTTGGGCCGGGCACATGTGCGTGAGTGCCCAAGATCCCGAGAGGAGAAGGAGAATGGAGAAGAAGGGATTGCGGTGTGGCCGTCCCCTCGGGGGGTGATTTCTCACCTTCTGTCTCTCGGTCTCTCTCTGTCTTTCTGGCGAGTGCACAAGCCCTGTAGCAAAAAATGCTCTCCAAAAAAAAAAAGTAGTTTGAAGTTTATGTGTAAGCTGTGTGGCTGTGTGTATTACAGGATGATTTTCATGGATTGCAGAACTGTTTGAGAATTTTCACAAAATCAGTAATTATGCCCACAAATAATATTGCTTCTGCCATGTCAGTCTGGGATTGAAAGATTCAATACTTATAAGTGGCAGAGATATTTCTAACTCAGAATAATTACTGTAAAATGTAGAGTGCTTAATTAAGATTCAACTTTTGGTAAGTTAATAATGAGGACTAATGAGTCTGCAAACATTATATAGACTCTTATTAAAACCAATATGGAACTAGCTATGGTCTATTACCACGCAGCGCTCTTGCTGGAAGAGTTCTCAGACAACTTGTATTTTGACAAACTGATTGTTCAGGTGAGAAAACCAAGGTTCCAATTATATTATTAAAGTCTTTGTAGAAAATTATGCTATTAAGAAAAATACATTGAGGGACTAGCAGATGGCCTAATGGTTATGACACTGGACCCCCCCCCCTCCACGTAGTCAACTGCAATTCGAGTCCCGGACCCGGCTGCTTAAAACTCACGCTGGGCACCTATGCATGCGTGTCCAAAATCCCAAGAGGAGAGTGGAGGAGAAGGGATTGCGACATGACCATTTTTCCCCCAGGGGGTATGGGAGGTGGGGGGATGGGGGTGATTTCTGTCTTTCTGTCTCTCTGTCTCTCCAGCAAGCATATATGCTCTCTAGCAAAAATCTCTCTTTAAAAACAAAAACAAATACAAATACAAACAAACAAACAAAAAAAACCCTGATGCATTAATTCAGGGACTAGCAGGTAGTGTGGTGATTAAGGCACTGGACTCCCACATGGCCACCCCCTGAAGTTTGAGTCTGGGACCTAGTGAATAGAAAAGCACATTATGCGCATGTGTGTGCCTGCCTGAAATCCAGGAGGAGTTCAGAGGACAAGGGATTGTGGAGTGGCCATCTCCCCTGGAGGGTGATTTCTTACACTCCCTCTCAGGGTCTCTTTCTGTTTCTCCCTGGTCAATGCACATGTCCTATGGCAAAAGCCTACAGAAAAAAAAGAAAAAAGAAGATACATCGATCAAGTTGTTCCAATCACAATGCACTCTGACTGGTTTAAGCCAAAAAGAAATTGGTTAAGGGACAGTAGGTAATTCATAAGGACAGTACATAACTCCAACAAAAGGACTCTGAATTTCATAGCCAAGCGCTATGCACAGTAATAAGGCCAGAGTTTCTCCTGCTCCACCCCACACCACCACAGATCAGCACCCACCACGTGTCGGACCCGTTGCCCGGAAACCCTGCTCCTGTCAGTCCTGAAGACGCAAATGCCTTATCTTAGCATGGATTTCTCAGTGGGCGGGGCCTCCTCTCTGGGTTCACCTCCGAGGGCTTTCCTG